GGATCAGTTCTTGGGAAACAAGATATCACTTTCTTAGAGCATCCCGATTGAGGTATCTCAATGCAGTGGCGAATCTACATATACATATAGTGGGTCAGTTGAACTACCATTTTTTTTTCTTTACTTTGTTATTACATTGGTTTAATTGTTTGAAATTTGGTTTGAGTTGTCATTTGAACCATGTTTCAATTTAGTTTTTTTTTGTTCAATTTATATTTTGAACCATAAGCAAAAAAATATTTAAAGCACATTTGCTTATTTTTGAACCCATCGTATAAAAGTTTAGTTGTTTAAAATAATCGTAACTCACTTTATTAAAGTAGAAACAGAATTCAGTCAACTTTGTAGTAATTATAACCCTTTTTCTTTAAATAATCTAACCCTCTTAATAAAAAATAAAAATCTTCAAGTTCAATCGCTATTAACGAATTAGAGATTAATTTTTAAATGACTGTTTAGTTTGTTTATCGAGAAAGATGTGTTCGAGACTATTACAAGTGATACCGACAAAGAAAAAACTAAATACTCGTATGAAAGATCGTAGAGTATATTCGTAGAATAGTTTCTATTTTTATTAAGAACTTTTTTTTTTTAAACTACAATAGTTTTAAATTATATATTGATCTTGGTAAAAAAATTTTTGGATCTGCCACTGTCTCAATGGAATTTATTAGAGATACCCCCAATAGGGATGCTCTTAGATTCTCATAGCATCGGAGTAAGTTTTTCCGTAGAGTTCACGTGAAAACAAACCTTTTAAATAGTTTTTAGCTACTAGGCTTCTAGATTTTGCATCTCTTTTTTTGCTTTTCAACGAGGCTTTTCGTCGGAGAAATTTCTTTATTAGTCCAGGATTATGTAATGTTGCAATGGACAACCTCTCTTTCTCCGAGCTCACCGCGGTGCGATGCTCCATGTTTCTGTATGTCACATTCGTTATGATCTACATTACCAATTAGAGCATCAGTAATGGTAAACTTTTGTGGGTGTCTTTAAATATAAAATTATTAAAATTTGAGTAAAAGGAAGAAAGAGAGTGTTTTTAGTTGAAATAATGGAGGTGTTGAAATATAAAATTAATAACATTTGAGTAAAATGAGGAGATAGGGGGTATTTTTTGGAGAGAAGATGTCTTTAGGTTGTATAGGAAGATACTTTTAGAAAGAGAGTTTCTTTTAGTTGAGGTGTGTTTAAATATAAAATTAATAAAAGTTGAGTAAAATGATAAAAGAGAAGGTATAAAGTTGAGTAAAAGGAAGAGAGAGTGTATTTTTAATATTTGTTTATTTAAAGACACCCAAAACATTTCACCAATGCTGATGCCCTTAGGCCCACCGGTTCTGTCGGTGGACAACAAATGCTTATGCACAGTGTTCCACGGTGGATTCCACGATTTTGTTTAAATTTTGTTTGCAAAAAGGTCAAA